TTGTATTATGAGGAGAATTGAGAGATGCAAGTGCCTACAAGTAGGAAAGGAAGAAGTGTTGTAATTGCTGGATTGCTGGTTTTAATTCCCAAACTCACAGGGAAATAACCAAAATAGTTTGCAACTGCTGCTTATATGCCATTTTGCAAGGCAAAACAAGACATTTTTGAGATTTTGAGATGAGAAGAGATTTGTTTATGTGCGGACTGTGGCAGCTACCATGATATTGTCATCTAACACGATCAATTATATAGTTTTCGTTTCCCATTTATCCTGTTCAGGGTCAGAGTTCAATATCTTACACATTAAATAGTAATCTGCAATTTGTACTATTTAAACTAACTTGATATAATGCTGTAATTGGTGAGCTTCAGTGGTGCTGATTTGTTTTCACCTTTGGACAGAGCCAGGTTACCTGTTTGCAGTCTTTATGCTAAGCTAAGCTAACCATCTTGTGGCTATAGTTAACAATGTAATAGGCAATATGAGAATCTAACTCTTAGCAAGAACGGTAATAAGGGCATTTCTGTTTAACTGACTTAATTAACTTTAATGACTGTCTCCTTTTAAATGTGCTTTTCTCTTCTATATAAAGACATCAAGGTGTTAATGTTAAATTTATTTTTATTATTATTTTTTTTTTTTTACACCCATTAACCTGTTAATGATACAATTCAAACAATTTTATTCATATATTTCTGTTTAACTTGTCCTATACTTTACCGTAACATATTATATTTACTGCTCCAACAGTTTCTATTTCTCCAAGATTTCATGGGCCTCACTGGTGTAGAGAATCCATAGAAAAGACACTCTATTGTTTAGAGAACAGCTGGCACAGAAGGCATGCTCTTTAGCCATGAGCCCGTTAAGAAAATGACATCCTTAAGTGAAAACAACCAAATCCCCAAGCACACTGAATTATTGATCACTTGGAAATGCCACACAAAGCCTTGTGTGACCACACAAGAAGGCCGTAGAAGGCAAAGAGCTGCTGGATCACATTAGCCAGGAGGAAAATGTTTGCCTATGAGTTTACTGAACTCAAGTTTAATTAAGTAGATGGGTAATTTTGTCCCGAATTGATTTTCTTAACATCTGAACAAAACCCTCTCACCCATTAAGTATACATAGCAGTCAAACTGAACACGTCACATTTGGTTTATTTAACCCAAATATTTTAATTCACCATTGTTGGACTGATTGTGCATTACCCAGTAACTGGTTTCTGCAGCATGTAGCTGTCAACAACATTAGGCAAGGCACACATACACACACACATACTTTCTACAGTATGTATAATATCTTGAATAAACATTCACACATTGATTACATCCTCTGTGAAAATGGATTCATTTATAATGAGTATTGTGGTAGGAAGAAAAGCAGGAAAGTACACATGTAACTACTGATGTCGGGTAAATTTTGCTTTATGTGCATGTAAGAATGTGAACAGTTAATTATCGGTGAATGGATGTTGGCATTCAGGAATGTGGAAGAAGCTTGTTTGAGGAGAGTTATAAACTCATCTTTGTTTCGGGTCTTGGTTCTTGTTCTTGATCCCTGATTATAAGGATTACTACTTGTGTGTATGCAGCAGTTCTAAAAGTTCTGCAAAGTGGTAAAGGTTTGTTCCCGGGTAACTCTCTATACAGATGTGAGGGTAAGTAAAGAGTGGACCAACATCATGTGATTTGGCCAGACGGATATGGATGAAGTCACTTTCTATTGTTTGTCCAACTGGCATGTAAACGTGGGTTTTCTTTTCAAGAAAAAGTAATAGAGAGACAATCTGTACAGCCAGAAACATGGATATTTACAAGCTCATTGCTGTTCTCATATTGCTGTACTGCTCTGTTTCAGTCTAGTTAATTGACAAACTGGTGTTAACAAGTCTCTAAAGCTGTTTACAAGTTAAATAAGGCATTCTCCTGATTTTGGAAATAAAGCATAAGTCTGAGTATCGCTTTCGCCATCACTCACTCTATGATACACAGTAATTAATATTATTTAACATTTTGCTTGACTTTAGGGACAATGTCTGTCAGTCCATCACTTCGGTCCAGATTGAAATCTCAACGCTTTGATCGTTTGCCATGGATGAATCCTACTGACTTTGGTGATACCCTAACTTTTCCTCTAGCATGACCTTGAGGTTGACCTTTGTCATTTTGAGTTGAAATGTCTCAACAACCATTGGATGGATTGCAATGAAATTTGTTCAGAAATTCACGTTCCTTTTAGGATGTATTATAATAGCTCTGGTCACCGATGACATATGATTATATCATCTTGATACAATTCAATTTAATCGATTAATAATAGTAATGCATCATTAGCCCTAGCCTCAGATTTTCAGGTCAAAAACTGATATTTGGGAATAAAATAATCTATTAAAACATATGTACACATTTTTAGCAAAGATTCCTTAAATTCTTTCAACCTGCAAATATTTACACAGACACACATAATATTGGCCCACTTATTTTCTCTATTAATAGATGCAATGTAATGTGGTCCAAAAAAATCATCTAGCCCAAATTCTTCATACACAGAACCCTTTACCACATTGGGCCGGAAGACTTTAGTACTAAAGACTACTAAATTGTGCATTCTGAAATATTGCACGTGTAATTTAGTACCTGCTATGGGTGATTAACTAAGAATTATTGCGTTGATGACAACAGGTGCAAACACAATGGAGGCGGCAGGATTTAAATGATTTGAATGGTTTAGCGTGTTTTAATGGTTTCCGCCATGGAGATTCGGGAGGGAAGGCAGCCACTGAGTAAAAACCTTGGTTTGTTTCATTCAGTCCCGAGTAAGTGGAAATCAAATGTACGTGCCCATCCTAAGATTACACAAAGTACTTGGGACAGCACACCTTAAAAACTGCTTTGGGAAACCCCAGCAGAATCAGCTACAGTATGCTGGAATGACCCAGACGCAAGGACAGGGCGCGAACTACGGGGGGGGGGGGGTGGGGGGTAAGACATAAGCTCCCCTAAAGAATATTGACTGTTTCAATCAATTTCTATATTTCTGTATCATCATGGATCAGTATCAGGAGCGTCATGCTTCATCCAGCCAGAGGGAATGATCACCGACCATCCGCCCGGTTGCTCCGCAATCTCCTGTCCCTGGCCCTATACACCCCAACGCCCCATTCCCTCTCTGTTACCTACAATGGGTTGTGTCGCTATATGACCGGCCCGCTATGAACAGTTGGTGATCGTTCCCTCTGGCTGGATGAATTTTATCCATGCACTACTGCAGCTGGGGGCAAAGAGGTCAAGTCGAAACTACACCCCCTCTCCCCCTCCGAAAGCTAAGGTATGGATCGCAAATACAGAGTTGCATGAAGTTTGGGCATGGCAGGTATTGCGTGACTCCTTCTTGTAACTGGCTCCAAATCAGCCCTTAGGTCAGCCAACAGCTCCAATATGGCATGGCTGGAGAGGCAAAATGTCATTCTCCGTGGACACCGTTAGTAGATCAGCTTACATGTTAAATTACTGGTGATGTCAAGTTTGCACACGTTTTTACTCATGTAAACCTTTAGTAAATCTGGCCCATAGTGTAAACCCCATTCTCATTGTCTGAAGGCATATCAGCCATAGAGAATACATGAGCACACACATTCAAAATCTGTCTGGACAGTGTGGCAGCACTGAAAGGAGTATTTACATTTTTCTTTTTTATCCCCTTAAACCTCAAGGGAGGGTGTGTGTATGTGTCTTAAACATGGAACAGCCACATCCCTTTGCCTTCGTCTTCTTCCGTTCTGCTATTTAAGACCACCTAAGCACATTGGCTCCATGTACATTTTGGATTTGCTTTTATATTCCTGCTGGTAACTTTTAAGGTACAGTTAGGCTCCCAGTAATGTAGATGCCCTGTGAACTACAACACAGCCACTGGTTCTCAAAAAGGGGTCTCCAGGCTAGTACACACTAATATATTGTATTCTAGAAATTCAGTTACAAGTGTGACTTGGAAACTGAATGACAGATTTGAAGTCTCAGTGTAATGATTTTGTGTTCTCTTAGAGAGTGGCCTGTTTAAGGAAAATCCTCCCCTCTGCACTTAAAATGCTTTAAAACCAGTTATCAGTGGGGCAAATGGCAAAAATGTGACACACAATCAAATGTTTTAGTATACAGTAATGAATACTGTACTGTACGTCCAAACAGTTTATCACAAACCTGAATTGTGTGTAGTGATGTCATTTTTTATAATAATTTAGTTCTTTGATTGGTTTAAACTGTATAATGAACAATTAACTGAAATTCATTGACAAAAAATTAAATACCAAAAAAACACAGTCTTTGTTTGCCTTTGTTTTGTTTGCAATGTAATACAGCAGATCATGTGCATAATTTCCAAATCTTTCCATCAACTTTCGTTATCTTACCAGCCAGTTTTAGAAAAACAGTACAGTACCAACTTATCTTAAAATGATGTCCAACTGGCTTCAAAGCTCTCTAATTACAGTAAAGCTAGTTTTGTTGACAACCGGACTGTTATCAGAGAAAGCCACTCCCGGCCGGGTTACATGAAAAACAGCAGGGTATTATTGCTACAGGGATGTGGCTGTGAGATTAAAGAAGCTGCTCCATGAAAATCTATAAAGCTGAGGAGCTGAAGTTTAACCTTTGGCCATTTGAATGTGCTGCCCTTGAACAGCTTAACAAAACATCTTACCTTAACATATGTTTTTTACAATCCACCATGGTGAAGTATTAAAATGACACTGCAAAATTCTCTATATTCACATCTGCCATCGGACCTGCTGCAAATTAAAGCCAAATGTCTGCAGTGTTTTGGCTAAATATGAATGTCAGCCTAAATCTTGAAATAATATAAATTAATGCTGTAAAAATTGAAACCTTAACCTCCTTCATCAATTCATACCGCTGTTTTGAACAACATTAATTGGGTCTATGACAGCCTATTCTGAATTCTTTCCTCTTCTCCTCTCTTTTCTCTGAATGTTCTAGATCCTCATTAATCGTCAGCCTAGAGTACTGGTCTTGACATCAACATGGGCCGCTGGGGTCACTCCTCCCTCCTGTCCCCTGCCCTCAGGCTAGCAGTCGTCACAGCGATTCTTCTCTTCGAGCTTCATCCCTCATTGGCCGGCGCTCCCCCCGAGCAGAGCTTGGGGAGCTCTGTTTCGGCAGTGTCCACAAATAAAACTGAATGCAGCAAGGCTGAGGCGTGTGCAAAGGGGGTGCTCTTACCTATTTGGGAGCCCCAAAACCCGTCTTTTGGTGACAAGGTGGCCCGTGCAACAGTTTACTTTGTAGCTCTGGTCTACATGTTCCTGGGTGTGTCAATCATCGCAGACCGTTTCATGGCATCAATAGAGGTCATCACGTCACAGGAAAAGGAGATCACCATCAAGAAACCCAATGGGGAAACCACCACCACCACTGTTCGGATCTGGAACGAGACTGTTTCCAATCTCACCCTCATGGCTCTGGGCTCTTCGGCTCCTGAGATCCTGCTGTCCGTCATAGAAGTCATAGGTCATGGGTTTCAGGCTGGCACACTGGGCCCCTCCACCATTGTGGGCTCTGCAGCGTTCAACATGTTTGTCATCATCGGACTATGTGTGTACGTTGTGCCCGACGGCGAGACGAGGAAGGTCAAGCACCTCCGCGTCTTCTTCGTCACGGCCACCTGGAGTATCTTCGCCTACATTTGGCTCTACTTGATCCTGTCCGTGATCTCGCCTGGCGTTGTGCAGGTGTGGGAGGGGCTGCTCACGTTCCTCTTCTTCCCCATCTGTGTGGTGTTCGCCTGGGTGGCCGACCGGCGCCTGCTGTTCTACAAGTATGTGTACAAGCGTTACCGCACTGGCAAGCAGCGTGGCATGATCATCGAGACGGAGGGAGACCGTCCACTTCCTTCCAAGGTATTCTCAGAGGAATTAACACAACTACTACTACCACTATTACAATTAATACACATACTTTATATTAGTAGTACCCCCGTTACTGCTACAGCACAGCTTCACTCAGCTGCTGGAATAGAAATATGATTAATTATCCACACAATAATAAAAGCTTCCTACGGTACTAATAGACTTTTTATAATATAGATTTTAATCTTTAATTGGTAATAACATTGTATTCACAATTTATAGAACGTCTCTCTGATCCAACTCTGACCTATTGTACTGTGCCATAGACTACTTTTCCTGTGCAACGACAGATTATTATCCCCATTATAAGCTTGCTCACTTTCACTTTTACTTCCAAATAAAGTGGTTTAGACAATGTGACCAACTTGCCTTCTTGCTCGGTCACTTTGATTGATGTTTTCTGAACCATTAAAAATGATGTCAAAACTATGAAAATAAGACCAAAGTTGTATTAAACTTGAATTATCCTTTATTTATAATTATTATTATATTAATTCAAATCAATACACAACTGAAATCATACACTACTAGGCATGCTGCTATCATCAGTACTATCACCAGGGATGCACAGTATTTAAAATACATATTTGAAATACTAAATAGAATTTTGTCATTTGTGTTTAATAGAGTTAATGAAAATATCTTCATATTCTGTATCAAAATAATTTAGTGTTTTGTATTTTGTAGTTTTAAAATACTGTAAAATACTTTGTGACAAGTCTACGTGATGACCTACTTAGTAATTTGCCCAGATTTGTTGTGATCAGAACAGAAAATTAATCCAGTCCTAAAGAAGAAGGTCAAGGTGAGAAGCGTGTAGGTGTGTAGCTTTCCATCAATTTTTAGCATAAACTGATATAATTTTTAACAATTCCAGTTAAGGTTTGGAGTTCTTTTTTGTAGCCTAGGCTACCTTGTTTTCCATCCATCCATCCATCCATTCATTGTCAACCGCTTATCCTGCGTACAGGGTCGCGGGGAAATTGTTTTCCAGTTAATGTAATTTTGGCTAACTATTTGACCCGAGGAACAGCCCTCACACTCACCTTGGAACATTTTTATTATTTTTGAAATACAAAAATTAAGTAGTTTACTTTCATACATAGAGTGGCTGCAGTATTTTGTAACTTATTTTGATTACTTAAAATTTGAGAATTTGGTATCTTATTTAAAAATACATTTTGATGTATTTTTTTCCCACCACTATTAGATGTTGTAAAGATTATAAAATAACGTTTACTGAATTTTACTGAATTGAAAATTTTTACTTGAAAAACAGGTACTTCCTTTCAACAGTTAATAGAAACATAATACCCACTCTTATATGATGATAACATTAGAAATTATTAAAATTATTGTGGTATTTGTAGAACATGTGTAAAATACTACATTTCAGAAGCTAAAATTCCTTCATTCATGTCTTATGAAGAATTGAACAGTCATGCTGGGAGCTCTCTCTTGCCCACAGGTAGATCAAAAAAGCACACCAATAGAAATTAATTAAGCTGTCCTTATCCAAACATGTAGTGGGAAAAAACAAAGGAGCAGATAAGGCACTTTATGTTCTGTGTATCCGAAACAATTATCTGTCTGATTGGAACTCTGCCAATGCAATGAAGCATATACTGCAAACAGACGTAAATACTTTTTAAGTATTGCTTATTTTTAATTTCCTGTTTTGACTACTATCTGGTGCTTTGTGTGATGTTCTATGAAGTGCATTTCCACATCTAATTACATTTTCAGTATAGTTAATTTAGAGGCTCTCAGCGTCTCTAACTTGTGCTATTATTTCGCTCATTTCTTTGATGAAATTATTAATAGTCAGTACTCCATTAGGAAAGGATCACATGAAGAGCAATTTCATTTCAACTTCTGGCTAAAAGAAATCACTGAATCAAACCCAACAGAAATGCCTTTGTACCTGAGGGGAAAGCCTAATAATTTAGAAGTTTTAAATTGCTTCTTGCTTAAAGTGCAAAAAGACATTTAATCTCATAGGAAAATAATCCTTCAATGAACAACAGAACAACCTCTTAACTCAGAGAGAAACAGATGGCTGACATTTTGATAACATTTCTAATAAATGCTGGTGCTAGTATTTTCTTATAGTCACACGCACAGTAAACATTAATGCGGGTTGTTTTTGAAATTTGCAAGCAAACTATCTAGCAAATACAGTAAACTCTTGGCCTAAACTGAGCTTAATACTCTCAAGCTTAACTCTGTAGTAGACTGATCACAGTCTACTCAGGCAGATTGACAGGATGGTAGAGCTGTAATGGAATGTTGGCATTGAGGAGCACAATTGTTGGCATTGAGGAGCACAAATGGATGCTAACAAAGCCAGGGAATAATAATAATTATATAGTGCTTTATAATCACATCAGAGTGGAGGGGGGGACTAATCTCGACCACCACCACCAATGCAATTCATAACCTAGGATAGGACTCACACGGAAACTATACATTTCTGCCTTTGTTTGCATGGTTGTTATAGGTCTTGTTTCACACCCAGTTCTCAGTGAACCTCAGTGAAGTGCCTTGACATTTGACATACTGCTCCAAAGCCTTAAATCAATGGTACTGATTAAATTGCTTTTTTTTTCCTCTTTGAAGGTGGACATTGAGATGGATGGGAAGATGCTGAACTCTCATGGTGTTGACTTCCTGGATGGTCCGCTGGGTATGGATATAGATGAGAAGGATCTGGATGAGGAGGAGACCCGGAGAGACATGGCCAAGATCCTGAAGGAGCTCAAACAGAAACACCCTGACAAGGAGGTGGGTAACAAAGTCCTCATATATAGTGCAATAAAACATACTGTCAGAAGAACATACTGCTACTGCTGAACCTGTCTGTGTGTTTCCCAGTGTTGTTTTTTTTGTATAGGAAATTAACTGACAAAATAAACAGCAGCAGATGACACACTTTCTATTTGCTTTCATTATCACAGTGATTATGGTGATGAATGCAGCTAAGGTCTCATCACAACCTCTCAGATTAATTTGATAATGGTACATCTGAAAAAAGAAAATTGCAAAGGAAACTGAGCACCCATTAAATAAATATGTAAATAAAAAAATAAACACAGATACTGACATTGGTAATTCATCTGTCTCATCAGCTGGCTGGCTGCCTGTCCCCGCAAGATAAACATATAGGAATTTGAATTTACAATAAGCAATGACACAGAGTGCTAACTTGTGTCTACATACAGTGGGGGAAATAAGTATTTGACCCCTTGCTGATTTTGCAGGTTTGCCCACTTACAAAGAATGCAACGATCTATAATTTTAATCATATGTACATTCTAACAGTGAAAGACAGAATCCCAAAGAAAATTCCAGAAAATCACATCATATGAATTTATTAAAATTGATAACCATCTGATGAGGAAAAACAAGTATTTGACCCCCTGGACAAACAGCATGTTAATATTTTGTAGAAAAGCCATTATTGGCCAGCACAGATGTCAAACGGTTTTTATAGTTGGTGACAAGGTTTGTGCACATTTCGGCAGGGATGTTGGCCCACTCCTCCCTGCAGACAGCCTCCAAATCATTCAGGTTCCGAGGTTGTCGCCTGGCAACTCGAATTTTAAGCTCCCTCCAAAGATTTTCAATTGGATTCAGGTCTGGCGACTGGCTAGGCCACTCCAGAACCTTGATGTGCTTCTTCTTCAGCCACTCTTTTGTTGCTTTGGCGGTGTGCTTAGGGTCGTTGTCGTGCTGAAACACCCATCCTCGACCCATCTTCAGCTCTCTCACTGAGGGAAGGAGATGTTGGTCCAGAATTCCACGATACATGGCCCCGTCCATCCTCCCCTCAATACGATGGAGTTGTCCCGTCCCCTTGGCTGAAAAGCACCCCCAAAGCATGATGTTGCCACCACCATGCTTGACGGTGGGGATGGTGTTCTTTGGGTTGTACTCTGTGTTCTTTGCCCTCCAAACACGACGAGTTGAGGCCAAAAAGTTCTATTTTGGTCTCATCTGACCACATCACCTTCTTCCAGGCCTCTTCTGAGTCGTCCAGGTGGTGAATGGCGAACTTCATGCGGGCCTGTACATGTTTCTACTTGAGCAGGGGGACCTTGCGTGCGCTGCAGGATTTCAATCCATGACGGCGTAGTGTGTTACCAACCGTTTCTTTTGTAACTGTGGTCCCAGCTGCCTTCAGTTGATTCATCAGTTCCCCCCTTGTGGTTTTGGGATGATTCCTCACCGTTCGCATGATCAGGGACACCCCACGAGGCGAGATCTTGTGTGGAGGCCCAGACCGAGGGAGGTTGGCGGTGGTGTGGTGCTTCTTCCATTTCCTGATAACTGCACCGACAGTTGATCTTTTCTCTCCAAGTTGCTTTCCGATTCTCTTGTAGCCCATCCCAGCCTTGTGCAGATCAACAATCTTGTCCCTGATGTCCGTAGAAAGCTCTTTGGTCTTGCCCATGGTGGTGATGTTGGATGCTGGTTGTTTGGGTGTTGACAGGTGTCTTTTATACAGGTAACGAGGTGAGGCAGGTGTATTTGATGTAGATAATTGGTTGGGATTGGGGCTGTGTCTTAAAGAAAGACTAACTGGCTTGTAGGAGCCAGAATACTTGCTGTTTGGTAGGGGGTCATATACTTGTTTTTCCTCATCAGATGGTTATCAATTTTTATAAATTCATATGATGTGATTTTCTGGAATTTTCTTTGGGATTCTGTCTTTCACTGTTAGAATGTACATATGATTAAAATTGTAGATTGTTGCATTCTTTGTAAGTGGGCAAACCTGCAAAATCAGCAAGGGGTCAAATACTTATTTCCCCCACTGTATATAAGAAATCACATTTGTGTACTCAGGCAGATTGACAGGATGGCAAAGCTGAAATGGAAAGTATAGCAAGTGTCCTCTTTGACCTACAATACTGGATGGATATTGAATTTTGGAGACCCTACCTTGATTACCCAGTTAAGTTCCTATATTTATTATATTATATACCTCAACTGATATCCTGAAGATGACAGCAATACTGGACGAATATCTAGTATTCTAGGTATAAAAAAATACTATTTGCAGATTTCTGTATTTGAAAAAAAAACTATATATGGTAACCATCAAATATAGCGTGACAACGGTTGCTCTGCTCAGTGCTCCTCCTATTGTTTGGACAATATTTAAAACTAGCAAACATAATGGAAGCTGCAAGCATTAAGACAGGCTACTGAAATGGCAACTCTTACATGCAGGAGAGCCTTCTAAATGAGGTTTTTATGCTTTTGGCACTACATGGATTAACAATGCTACTACTTAAAATAAACTTTCTTGTAAGCAAATGTTCCGGTTATTAGCAAATTGATTTAAAAAGGTTACAACAATAGGAAAAAAGTAAATCACCTGATCTCCAATAATTTAAGGATATTAGAGGAATATTAGTGGTGTGAGGAAAGGAGGAATTGTGAAAAAAACTGGAATTCAGTACATTTATCAAGGATATCTAAGCAGGATGGATGCTTGCTGTCATGCGAGCTTGGACCTGGATCCTCTGGTTGAAGGAGGACTTTTCTCCTTATGAAATTACCAAGCTGTTCACATTTCATTTGGCACGTCGTGTATGGCTGTGTAAGACCTCACAACGATTTAAGTAATCTGATGCATATTCCTTAATGTAACTAATGCACAGACACTATTTTTTCACTGCTGACATATTAAAACAGTGTGACTCATTATAAGATCACTGTTGTACGGTTTCTTATTGTTAATGTTCGATTCCACCACATATCACACCATTAAATCATATTTATCACGACAAGCCAGATAAAACAAGTTGACAAAGAAGTCCTCCACACCCAGGTGTGTGTGTATATCCTGCACAACAGTCAGGGGGTCTAGATTTTTGATGAAGCAACATTTGAAAACAACTTCCATGTCCACTGATCATGCTGGAGAAAACATTTTTACACTGTGTTTGTGCGCCTTCATGTTTTCTCTTACCAGGTGGAACAACTCATTGAACTTGCCAACTACCAAGTGCTGAGCCAGCAGCAGAAGAGCCGTGCTTTCTATCGATGCCAGGCCACCCGGCTGATGACAGGCGCTGGCAACATCCTGAAGAAACACGCAGCCGATCAGGCACGAAAGGCCGTCAGCATGCACGAGGTGCGCTCTGATGCTGGTGAAAACGACCCCATCTCTAAGATCTTTTTCGAGCCCGGTTCTTACCAGTGCCTCGAGAACTGCGGCACAGTGGCGGTGAACGTGGTGCGACGTGGTGGCGATATAGGCAAAACAATATCTGTGGAGTACCGGACAGAAGATGGTACGGCCAACGCTGGCTCGGACTACGAGTTCACAGAGGGCGTGGTGGTCTTCAAGCCTGGGGAGACCATGAAGGAGATCCGTGTGGGGATCATTGACGATGACATCTTTGAAGAGGATGAAAACTTCCTGATTCACCTCTCCAATGTCAAGGTGTTGACATCAGAAGGCGAGGAGCCAGAGGAAGGCGAGTCAGCTAATCACGTGGACTCAGTGGCCTGTCTAGGCTTACCCTCCACAGCCACCGTTACCATCTTTGACGATGACCACGCCGGTATCTTTACGTTTGAGGAGCCTGTGTGCCATGTGAGCGAGAGTGTTGGCACCATGGAGGTGAAGGTGCTGAGAACGTCCGGGGCTCGCGGCGTCGTCATGCTGCCGTACAAGACGGTGGAGGGAACGGCGCGAGGTGGCGGAGAGGACTTCGAAGACATTCACGGCATCCTAGAATTTCAGAACGACGAGATCTTGTGAGTAACTTTGATCAACCTACCTTTTAAATTGAATTATAATGATGGTGCAATCCTAACTGCTAAGTTTATTTATGTAGATATTTATCAGCTTCACTGTAATTTTCTGCAAGTTTTTTGTTACTGTGTCAGTGCGATGTTGCAAATGTTATTGCTGATGATGTGAGATATTGAGTGTGTGTGTGTGTGTGTGATGTGGTGGTCACGACGAGCGGCGAGGCGGACTGCTCATTGGGGACTTTAAAAAGTATACAATTCCCCACCCCTTGATACTTCTTAACATGTCTCTATTTTCTACTTTGGCCCATTCATTCTCTTCTTTTATCTTCATCAGGCTGTACATTCGCCTTTACTTTGTATTCTGTTGTGCTGCTGTTTTAGTCTTTTGTGGGTTTTATTGATTTCTGCATTCTTACTGTACAGTCAGCAAAATAGGTTCAGCTTGTGAGTTGCATGAGCCAAGAAGTTGGGAAGGTGGTTTACTTGTTAGACAATTTATGGTTTGAATTTTAAGCAGACGGAATGTCAGGACATGGAAATAGAATGAGATGTGTTGAAGTTTCCTTATAGTAGGGCACTTAATGGAAAACCAGGAGGAGCTGGTTGCTTGACACAGTACATGAATTAAATAAGCAGCAGGGAATCAGAGTAATGCCAAGGAGCATCTATTTAGTCAACTTAATTTTGATATACAAAGGCTTTTTTCTAAAATGGCAGTTGCCCTTTTAGGTGGCTTTATACTGTGTGAGAACATCCCATAGCAACTAGTCATGCAGCCAGCTCAAGGCTTTTGTTGTTGTCTTTCTTGTGGGAAAAGAACTCAAAACTCCATTTAAGGATCCCTGCTGTGAAATGCCGCAGCCACAGATCAAGGCTCTTCATAAACGCAGAGGCCTTTTTAGCTGATGGTGACTCGCGGTGAGGTCTGTGATTGCTATTTGACCACGTTTCAGGAGGCCTTTTACCACAATGGTGATTTCGATCACAGCCAGCTGCTGTACTCTTCATCCTGACCCACTCACAGTGCGGGGAATTAGATCAAGCTGTCGGCCAAATGTTTGTACAATGCTGACCAGCCCTCTTTTTTAGTTTTTTTTTACATTTAATTGTGAAAACAATAGCTGTGAATACGTACTTCTGTGTTTCTTGCAACACTTTAACTCTATCATTACTGGACAGTAACTGGGAATATGATGCACTAATTTAGACGATAGAAGTGGTTGACTCGATGACAGTGTTGTAATCCTATTAGAAATTTTGAGGCTTGGGCTGCTAGATTATGGCAAAAATCATAATCAGATCCATGTGTGGGGGCTTAGCACACACACACACACAAGGAGTGGAGCAGACGAGAGACAGGTGAACTACTCAAGTTGAAGACAACTCGTTGTGTTACATAACACTGAAATTCAACCGTGGTGTTGTGTTGGAGATGCAGATCCTTAAACCAACAGTGAGGAAGAAAAGTATAAATAAGCAAAAATAATATGTAATTTGCTATGAGAAGAGCAAAAATCCCCTAGTCGCTAGGCTAAATTATCATCAGTTTTGACATGGATACATGCACACATGTAAATGTACACTTGTAAAACTGAATACACGCTCACTCTCCATATGGCAATGTTCTCATAATGAGAGGTGATATTGTTGTTTTTTCACAAACACTCAACTGGATGTTTTTTTCTGTAAAATGCTCAATATTGTGGGCTACTGGTCTATTTCTTTGGCTCTTCCTCTCACATACATATAACAGCTGTGTGTGTGTGTTCAGGATGCCGTCACAAATTAGTGTTTGCAGTTAAACCTTCCTGTTGTGGCCTGTAGGACTGTTGGGCTTATAGCTTGAGTGATAATACAATAAACTTCACAGCTTTCAGCAGTTGGCCTTTTTACTGTTTGGGCCATGTGCTAGTTTTTGGGATTTGTCAGCAGGCTTGACTTGGTTTAGATATGCACCAAGGGGGACAAGATGTAGAGCTCTGACTGATTTTTTTTCTGGCAGGCATCAGGTGTTAGTTGCAGTAGATTCCCTTGGAAACCACAAGTTTGCTTAGTGCTTGTTTCAAAATGTTCAGATTGTTTGTGAGGAAGACGGGTTGTAATGACATGAAACAAAGTGTGTTGTCATGATGAATGAAAGGGCGAGATGCTGTCTTAGTAACAGTATTCTAAAACCCTCTCCCTTTCTTCTGTTTTTGGTCAGATCTGAAGCAGATGTCTGCAGGGCTGGCCTTTTCAGCATGTGGCAGACATAGTTTCCATAGCTTAAGGCCCTTACAGCCAGGACTAAGTGGGTTTTAATAACACTTTGTCCAAATCAAATGATGGACTGTCCTTCCGGTTATCATGGTTACTGTGTGTGTATTCTTGTGTGTACATGTGTATGTTTCCTAGGGGAAAGACCCAGAGGATTGTGGAAAAGCATTCCAACTATATCTGCGTGTAGGGATAGGTCATTTTGTAACCAGAAAATCACGAGTTTGAATCCCACACAATGTCCTTCCACCATTTAGTCTCTAACTTCCCCTCTAAATCATCTCTGGTGATTTTTTAATATGATCTTTAATAGCTCAACATTTTAGCCATTACATAAATAATAACCTGATGTGTGATCTAAAAGAACCATGGCAGTATTTTTACATGTTTTCAGCCTACACACAGATACTGTAATGTTACTGCTGAACATTTTCTAAAGTTAGTTTTCTTTTTTCCTTTAAAAATTCAAACCCAGAAGACCACTAGCAAACAGAGTTCTGAAGATAATATGAATTGTGGTTGTTGTTGTTGTAGTTTCTGGAACAGATTCCCAAATATCACATGTTGGACACCAGAGAGGAGAACACAATTAACTTACTTATCTTATCTATATCTTAAAAATTATTATTATTATTTTTGAAGAACCTAATGGTTTGTAGTTGATGGGATAACAGGCAAAACTACAAGAATGGTTTTAAAGTCACACATTAGGCTATGGTAAATTTAGTATTTGCCTGCTTAAACACATTAGGCAGACAAGACAAGTCTGTTTGGGGAAATTCATCAAGGGGTTAGCTGAGCTGCTTGTTAGCTGCCAGCTATAAAAACTAGTTTTGGCTAGTAGAAAAATGCTGGGCGGTGTTTTCTCTTCTGGGTAAAGTTTCTCACCTTTTAATGTGATGTGAGTTAAACATAGCTACTATGGACATATGGCCATGAACTTGGTTGTGTTGTTGACAGAAACTGCAGACAGTAAACAAACCATATACCATTTAGGACAGATACACAGTGAAGAATATTCACTAAATAACCTGTCACATGCCATACAATTCATAGCTTAAACTAATTTTCAGTGCTTGTCCCAAGATAGGCTTTTTTAGAAAATATGCATTTTTATAGAAATACACAGGGCCCTGAGTATGTCCCTACAGGGAAAAGCAGAGGACGTTTTTGCTGCAGAAAAAAAGAAATGACAAAATAGCTGATCTAAATAGGACTGCCTCCAGGCTAATTCTACCCTCATTCTGTTTCTCTGATAAGAGAGAGGGAGGTATGTAGGGAGGGTACAGTTATAAACGAGTGCCATTGGAGGCAGTGATTGGAGGAGGAACATCAGAGAATGATAGAGTGGACAGAGAAGGAAGGGAGAAAGAGAAAAGTTTTAGACCTCTATAAGTTTTGGACATATTTCTTATTTACCGTCCCTTCTTTTTTCTCATTTTACCTCTTCTATCCCCTTTCATTTCTCTGTCCGTAAGAGGCCCCGTGCAATTTGTCTCCGAAATAGTTTGTGAGGGCTTGTCTGGTGGTTTCTTTGAAAGATGGAAAGGTGTATGTGTGGGAGAGGGAGAGAGAGAGAGGGAGAGCAGTAGGGAGAGCACACAAAACTCCACAGCACTCAGCTGTGTCAAATTATCTCTGTTTCAGTCTTCAATGAAGTATGTCACAGGAAATACAAGCTTGGTTCTGCATAGGGATGGGGATCGTTAATTTTTATTGATATTGATACCCTTATTGAGACTGCTTAACGATCCGATTCTTTATCGATACCACTATCGATACTTTACTATTATTTAGTGATGGTTATTTGGTAAGACCAGACCCAACATGCAGGCATAAGGTGTACAGGTGCACGGTATGAGGAAAATATTCAATGTGCAATAAACTTATATATTGAGATGACATATCACTTGCAATAAATATACATATATTGAAGTGTACATATTAACTGCCTGGTTGTTTTTAATTTAATATTTTAAATACAGCTAAATGCTGTTTCTAGAGCAGCAACATTAATGTTTACAACAGCAAAATGAGATACTGAGGACAGAGATGATTAAATTAACCATTTCTACATGTTTAACGTTACCTTACAGACAGGTATATTGAAAGGTATTGTCGTTTTACTTGCGAAGGTTTTACAAGTACTTACAGTAACGAGCGTAGCTGTCATCAACTAACGTTACAGTAGTTTGGAGCTAACTTAACACTCACCGTATTCCACCGCGACGGCGCCGCCTCTCGCTCTGCTGCCGCTGTGTGTGTGTGTGTGTGTGTGTAGGAGCCGACAGAAAGCAGGCAGAGACTGCCGCCTGATGATTTTCTTATCCATTGCGTTGCAAAATAAAACCGAATTGACGCTCGAGACATATGCGTTACATCATAGGACCCGTAAGTATCGATAAGCTCAGACCTTATTGATTTTCGGGTTTTGAGAAATTTTGGAACCGGGTCTCGATCCCCATCCCTAGTCCTGCACATTGCTGTGTGCACATTTTCATTTCAATGATTTCATGCTGCACATTTATCCAGCACTTGTCAGCCTTCCTGAAATGATGGCCCATTTTAGGCACAGAGCACAATGAGTGAAGTGAAAGTTAGTGCAATTACCTGCTTTATTTTTTGTCATTTGAAAACAATAACATTTAGCTCTAGAAACAACTAAAATTTGGGAAACTGAATTGGAAACAAGAAGTTTTATGGCTCAACGTTGCTAAGATTAATATTTTTGCAGTATAGTACTA